GAAAGGGCCTTCTTTTTTTTTTTTTTTTTGTTGTTGTGGGGTGGCGCGTGTACAAGACTCTCGCTCGCGCTGGAACGAAGGTTGCGCTGCACCAGGTTGCCTCTTCCTGTTGCCAAGAGTAATGATGTTGGATTACTTTTGGCTAGACACCGCCTCTACAACATGGCCCTTTTGCCCCCCCAACACTGGAAAAAAAAAAAAAGGTGTATGGCGTAAGCGCAACGTTTGTGCAAGGCATCATCGCCCAGTTTCGCGAGGAAGCCGCATCGGAGTCGAGTTCTACCACTGCTTCTGGCGGTGCGTGGGGGGGCGAGGGGCACCCGGCTCGCGCCAGCGCTAGCGGCGGCTCTTCCCGCAAGGGCGGCGGCAAGAATCACAAGAGAGGTGCTTCGAGGAAGGCCGGCGGAGACGTGAGTGTTAGTGTAGTAGTAGCTTCAAGGCTTGCAGCCCAGATCACGGCCGTTCGTTGGGGCGAAACGGGCACAACCAAGACAACGATTTCCCGCTCTAGAGTAGTGATTTGCAGGCCCCGGCGCACTGTCCCCAAGGTTGTATGTTTCGAAGCCTGCCTTGCTCTCGTAAAGCAGGGCTCCCGAAGCGACGCGTCTGCACAAGCACCCCCGTTCTGTGTACATGAACGGTGCGCCTGGCCGGCATACGGTCGCTCACAAGCATGGACGTGTCCCCCTTCCCCCTGCTGGCATCCCTGCGTCCAATGCAGGTTGACCTTGCGGCCGAGAGAGAAGCGGAGCGTTTCGTTCGGCGTTGCAGGCCCGAGCTGAAAGACTTCCCCCACCTGGTGGCGGCACTGGGAGCGCACGTTGCTCCTGCTCTGCGGGAGGCGAGGGAGGACGTGGTCCGACGAGCCAACCAAGTGAGCCGGTCGGTCGGTCGGACGAACGACGTGCAGGCTTTGCACGCGGGGTGGGTCTAGTGTTGGGGTCTCTTCTTCTGAGAAGCTGGCTTGCTTCGATGTGAAAGGCTTGTAAGCTTTGCTTTGCGTGTTGCGTGTTGCGTTCTTAAAAAAAAAGATGGCTTCAATGTGCATATCCGGTAAGCTTTGCACGCAGGTTGGGTCTCGAGTCTCGTCTGCTGAGAAGCTGGCTTGCTTCGATGTGACAAGCTTGAAAGCTTTGCTTTGCGTGTTGCGTCTTGAGATCTTAATAAAAAAGTGGCTTCGATGTGCAATTCTGGTAGGCTTTGCACGCGGGTTGGGTCATGGTCTCTTCTTCTAAGAAGCCGTCTTGGTTCGACTCCACCATGATACACCATGGAAACTTCCCGCGGTCTCACCATTTTGCTCTTCACCGCTCCTGCCTTTCGGATTCGAAGCGCCGGGACCGCGTCCCGGATCTTGATCGTGACGCCTCCTGTCCCTCCCTCCCTCCCTCCCTCCCTCCCTCCCTAATATGTTGACATCTCTCGGCGATTGATCTAGAGGAGCAGCGCCGACAGCTTCCACGAGCGGGCGGATGCATTCGAAACGGCGTTTGAAACGAGCTACTTTGACTTCCAGCTGCGCTGCCGAGGAGTGCAAGCCCTTCGCAATTCTCTGCGACAGCAGCAGCAGCAGCAGCAGCAGCAGCAGAAGCGCAATGTGCCTAGCCATCCCGGTGACGAGGACGGTCCTCCCGTCAGCGGCAAAGATGGTTGTAGATCGGGAGAGCGCGCCGAGAAGTACTTGCTCAGGACGCTAGGAGCCCAGCTGGCGGAACTGGTGACGACGAGAGAGTGCGAGAAGCTGGTGAGATTTTGATCTGGCCCCGTGCCGCGCGCATCTAGCTCTCTTTGACATTTCTTTCGAGCATGGTATGCGCAGCAGTGTGTCGAAATACTGTATGTCCGTGTGCGTGGTGCTTGACAATGTGCTTGACTTTTGCGCTCATCATAAACCTTCTCGACCTCGTCAAACGGGTTGCGGATACGGAAATACTTTGATGGATGGAACCGGACCGTCGATGGAACGTACCGGGGACTGATTGGGAGATGCCTCACCTTCGAAAAGTGTGCGTGCATCTAGTGTGTCGGTGTAGCTGATGCTCCGGGTGTCCTTGCCTTTCAACAGGGTATCCCGTTCGCTTCACAGGACGGAGGAGCATGCCGACGTCCAGAGGAGCGCATGCCCTTCATTTCCGAGGTTCGTTGGTGATACGTCGAATTTTGTTGGTCTCCTGCCGCGCACACACCTTTGGGCGAAGTGGCATCTCCCGCTGTCGGTAGGATCAACGGGGAGGCTTTGGGAGTACTGACAAGAGCGAAGGAGGGATTTTTTTAGTCCTGAACGTAGCAAAAAGAAAGCGTTCACCACAGCCCCAGGAACATCACGTTGTAAGTAGCATCGTTGCTGCACGCTGGCTTGACGCTGCTACAAGAAGAGCGACAACGGTTTCTGGAGATCGATGTTACGCCCAACTTCGTTGGTGTCACGTAGAACACTCGCGGCTAATCGCCGTCGCACGTTTATGCTTGGGGCGCGCGCTTAATTTGGCGTATCCGCAGGCTGCTTCTTCCGCTCTAGCCGAGGTTCTGTCCAGAGACGTGGCGGAATCCCTCGTGCGCCTGTGGCAGGCCGCGACGGCCGGCTGTCAGCTGTCGGATTTCTGTGAGACTCTCGAAGAGCAGGTATGTATGTATGCCCGCGCCTTCAGAAGATAAAGGGAAAATAATGGAAGATGACAGCAGTGGGAGATTGGGTCCGTCCTTGTCCGGGTCTGTTTGCGGCAGCGACCACGCCAAGTGCGTTCCTGCGCAGCGTCCGGGACACAATCTCTTCTTCTGTGTTGTTAGCTGTTGTATCGTGCCGAATCAATGTCATTTGTCTGTAAGGTTGTTGCTTTTTACAGCTCGCCTGTTGAAAGGGTCCTCGTGTCTCACAAGGGTTCTTCCTTTCAAGCAGCGCCTCCTTCAGATGGGCGGGTTATAGTAGGAGAGGGTATCCGAAGTATTGTAGCGTTTCTTCTCACCGCTCTATGCATTCCTAACTTGAAGCGAACTACTTCTATGTCTTTGAGTCGCGATGAGGAAGTAGCGCCAGTTTCGGACAGGTTTCGCGATTCTTGGGTGTGTTCCATTCGACGCGTTTCGTGTCACGTGCATCGACGTAACCGTATTTTTCGCGTAGCTGAGGAATTCTCTCATGATGCTCTTGTTCCGTTGCATAGTCGCAGCATACTGGGTTATCGTTGCGCAAAGAACGTCGCAAGAAAGATATGAACCACGCTGCAGCTCGTCAATGGTGTACTATGTACCAGATTCGGACAGATGTCTATTGTTGAACTGTTTGTCCTTGTTTGCCACCAGCTACATTAACTCGGCCCGACGCTCTGCCCTAGTACTGTAGGTGTTCCCCGTGTGCAACCTGGTCGGTAGGCGTCTGGACAAGCGCCAAGAGCGCCGATTGGTCGAAGACAGACAGCGGGAGACGAAGGCGAGCTTGTTCCGAAGCGTCTCAGGTGCGACGGTGGTCGGAGGCGGTGGCCAACCTTCCATTCATCTTGCTTTCGTACAGCGACGTTGGAGTTGAATACTTGATGCTGAGCTAAAACTGTTGTGGCGCTGCTTGGTTGTAGTTGGAAGTTGTGGCCGGGCCTCGTTGCTCTGCAGTGGGCTACGTAATTCTATCATCACACAGCATAATCTCGAAAGCGCTTTCGTCTTTTTCCTCTGCGATCCCACAAGAGACACCGTCAATTTACGACGGCTATTTGAAAGGTAGGACGAAACGATAGCTCTCAGCTTCAAAAAGCCGGCCAAATGAACGTACGTAAACGGCACGACACGAGTGCCTGCCTTCTCCGCCGGCGAGATTTTGACGCTCTCTTTCGCGTTGCCGCTTCCTTGGATGCGACTTGCCTCGCCCCCCCCCTCCAGAGCGAGACGTCTTCCACTTTGCCGCACTTGTGGTGTTCCAGAGCGTCACCGGGGCTACCCCCTTGCTTCCGCCCCCGGGGCCCCGGCCGCCGGCGCAAGAAGGCGGGCACGATAGCAGCCAGCAGCAGCAGCAACCCTGGGCCGCAGTGCTGCTAGACGCAGTCCGAGGACATGTCTCTTCAGAGGCAGAGGAGTGTCTCTCCGATCTGCAGCGGGAAATTCAGGTGAAGATGGGCGTTACCCTGCCCTGAGGGAGACTTTTGACGAGTTAGTTGTTCTTCGTGCGGGGGTCACCGGAATGTTTTTGGTTGGGTGACGCCGTCGTTGGAGAATGGAGAATGGACCGCTGAGGGTTTTAGATTGTGGCACCGGCGGCGTTGAGCTTTGCGTCGACGGGAGACACGAAATATCTCCACACTGGCGTCGTGGTTTGCTTCACGCCCTAGACGTGACCGTTCGGATTTAATAGTTGTTGGCGTCCCATGGGTATCGTTCCCCTTCGGCAGTCGTTTTGAGGCTGTTGGACCAGAACCCGGCAAGCATGTGCTCTCGAACTACTAAGCTTTCGTTGTACAGATTGCACATGTTGTACATGTGATTGACCACCCCACTGCCGTGGAACTTATCTATCCATGTTGGTCCTGTTCCTTCCCCTTTTTTTCGCAAGGCCTCTGAAGCTGTGGCTATTTCAGCTGATGCCGGCGAGAGCGGCCGAGGCGCGGAAGAAGATTCTTCGGTTGGCAACAACGACGGCGTTGTTTGCGTCAAGGCTGGGAAGGCAGGGGGCAAGGACGCCGCCGCGGGTGTGCGGCTCATGGAGTCTGTAGAAGCTGCCCGCGTGCTGGGGATGGCATACGGAGACTGAAACGTGTGGCTTACTCTCGAGGAAAGGGGGGGCTGTTTTACGCCGGCCACCACGCCACCACGCACCAAGTACATAGTAGCGTTAATTTTTTTTATTCGTTTCAAAAGAGGGCGCAGCTACTTCAGTAGGTAGTCTAGCCCTTCAAGGGAGAATCGTCTACGAACTTTCGCAAGTTAAATCGTCGTACGGCACGGTGTGCGGTTGAGAGCTGAGAGTGTCGCCCGGCATGGCACGCAAGCGCTGAACGGCATGCCATTCTTCATATAGACAGATCGGACACGCTTGGCCATGTGGGGTAGACATCACCTCCTGCGTCGTGCAAGTTTGGACTTTTTCCGTATGTGGACGTCCAGTGTGTTGGATGATCTCGCCGATCTTCGTCTAGACCAATCAGGTTGTAAAGGGATTTCTCTGGCTGGCTGGCTGAAGACATGCTTGCAAACACAAAATGTCAAGATACCCGCGGATGGATGCAAGATAGATCTTTGGCGTCTTGTAGGCAGGGATGTGTGGACTCTTCAGCGACATATTGCATGAACGCAGCGACGGATAGAGGCTCGGCCTAGATCCAAACGGCCAAATGGACTGGATCACAACGACACTCATTGCTCAGGAGAACGACCCGACTACCCCTTGGGGTAGTCAAAGTGTGGACAACGCAACGTCCTTTTTTGAGCTAATAAAAGGGAAACAAAATCCACGGGTGCTACGTGGAGTACGTAGACCAATAACAGGCAGCACGCTCCCAGGACACCTGTACCCAGTTGTAGGTCTTTGGCCTGAGACATACCAATGGGACACAACATGCGAAATGGACACGAACCGGCGCATGACCTGACAGTCCCGACCGACGGAAACGAATTTCTTACGCACCTTCGCTCCTGCTGTGTCTTGTCTGTCTCTCTGTCGCTCTCCCTCTCTCCTCGCCTACTCTCAGCCTTAGCGTCCGCAAGGAAATATGAAGGGGACAAGACTCTGCGGCGTGACAGGTGTGTGTGTTCACCCGGCTCATGTAGAAGCTGGCACATATACAGCAGTAGTATGCATGGCGGCGGTGCAACCTGAGGTGGGACCGCTGCCGCGGACACAGCTCTCATGTGCTCATGTGCCTCATCATACCAACCCGCTACAGCAGTAGCCCCGTTGTTGTCAGTGACCTGCGTGCTCTCCATTCACTCGCTCACCCGCCGCAGGCCTTTTCCTTGTCGCCTCGGTGCATGGGTTCGTTGCTCCTTCTTGCGCACGTAGTGCGCTGCGTGCTAGCTCTAGCTGCGGCAACGGTTTCCTAGGTGAGAGAGAGACCCGCTCTACCGCTTTAACAAGAGCTCATCATAGAGGAGAGTGGGGGGGGAAAGACCGAACGGGTGTAGATATTTCGATTTGCATCATGGTTGGAGCTGCTGTTGCTGTAGTGCAAGGCGTGGCGTACGGCCTACTCGCTCCTTGCGCGGTGTAGAGATGCCAATCGAGTGATATCGCATCTGGATAACGGCAGCTTAAGAGCTGATCGACGCCGACACAGAGTATCTCCGGAGATGATGGGAATCATGAACAACACTACAAATGCCATGTCATTGCCATATGTACACAGCAGCAATACTCCATGTACAAGGGCGCTTCGCGGCGTACGGCTTCGCGGCGTACCGCTTCGCGGTCGCCGCTACGCTCGAAAGTTCAATGGCGATGGCAAGTGTGTGCGGGTGTGTGGAGTTTTGAAATGAGAGATACGAAGAAAATATGCTGCGAAGAGGGAAAAAGTCGATTCATCATTGTTGCTTGTTCGTAGGAGCATTGACGCACAATGAATAAATTCAATGTCGTGCGACAGCCGGAGGACAGAGTGAGTATTATTTACTCGGAGTCAGAGAAATTGCTTTTAAGAAACAAAGGCAGGCTCACTTTCCACGAAACAAATAGGAAAGAAAGTAACATAATACATAGCTCAACCTCTGGGCCACACAATAGAAGAAACGCCTCCGACTCAATAAGAAAACAGGCGAGCGACCCCTAAAATACTCTACTACTCGTAAGACACGAGGGTTACGGGGGGGGAGGGGAATGGGTGAGTGTGTCGAATAATAAAACTTGAGAAAGATACACCAAACAAACAGCTTTTCTCTCTCTCTTCCCCCTCTCCCATGTGCTACCCACCGCCTCAGCGATATTTGGTTGTAGCTGAACGAAGTTCGCTTCTTCTAGGATGAGTGCATGGTCTTCGCGTGTATGTATGTGATCTGATGTACGGCCGTCGGTGGTGGAAATCGGGGCTGGTTAAGTACGGGAGGCAGGCGAGGAAAAGCAGCTCAAATCATTACACGGTCGTTTTTTCCAGCACGTTGTGTGTAGTGAGCAAAAGCAGAGAAAATTTGACAACTACCCACAGCAGCAGTAATATTGCTATATGCCCTGCCAGAGGGTTTGGAGAGTCAGATGGCTGTAGAAGTTCGTATGTTGGTGTGTGTTGGTGGGGTGCGGAGCATCATGTTCCTGTATAGATAGCCGCTCTACAATAAACTGCTGCGCTGTGCGGCAAAGGCCACAGCCACGGAAGCTAGTAGGCGACGTCCTGGTGGCACCGTCGTGTCCATAGAGCATGTGTGATACACAAAAACATTACTATTATCTTGGTTCGTCATGGGAGTATGCAACTCGCCCCCCAAGTACACTTGCTACATACCTACCGCCACCCCCCCAAGTGTAGTGCGGTAGGTATGTAGCCAGAGATGTTTATTTGCGAAAGAAATGCTTCTTCCATGTTTTTTTTTTTCTCGGGCGAGTGTAGTTGCGCAGACAGCTGTGGGCACGACACCGGCGGCTAGCCCCCCCGCTTTTCGCCGGGATCGAAAGGGAGACGCCCTACAGCAGTAGAGTACTTTGTTTCATGTCATGCGGAGAGTTGGTGGCTTGGTTGTCGTGTGTGGTAGGGTGTGTAGCGTGTAGCCAGCGCACACCCACAAGTCAGTCACCCGCTTACCGAATGTATGAATGGCCTTCACCGTCAAGAAATCAGGGCGTGATTGGTGGATCCATGGTAGATGTCGGAGACGCGACTTTCTAACCCCGCTAACGCTGCACGCAGTCCGCCCCGAGAGCGCGCGGCACGCCGGGAGGGCCCTCNACCGAATGTATGAATGGCCTTCACCGTCAAGAAATCAGGGCGTGATTGGTGGATCCATGGTAGATGTCGGAGACGCGACTTTCTAACCCCGCTAACGCTGCACGCAGTCCGCCCCGAGAGCGCGCGGCACGCCGGGAGGGCCCTCGCAACACAGGGCTATCGGTAGGTGCAAGTCTCGCTTCGAGGCGAGGTCTACGAGCGGAGAAGCCGCGAAAAAAGGGCCCTAGCCTCACGAGAGCATCAGGATTGCATTTCCTGCGATCTCGTGAGCCCTCAGCCCGCGGGAAATCCGTCTATAGGTCTATATGTGCTGTACTGTACGGTGGTGATTCAATACATCTTTGCCTAAGCGCGAAGAACTGCACGCAAGCCCATCCATTGCTCTATCTGCGAATCTCAACCACCTAACAATTCTGCTGCTTCTTCGTGTATCCCCCATTTCTCCTGCTGCTGCGGTTGGTTGCTCTCGACTGGCCTCTCTCGTCCCCTCTCCGCTGGCCAGCAGCGGGGACTCATGAGGCTTATGGGCGGGTCACCGAAAGCCGGAACCCCGCCAGGGGCGTTCGGTCACTCTCTATGACCAAACCTAACTTCACGAAGGTGCGACTTGCACTGCTGATGTGTACTCGAGACTTGTGGCTGCTTTGCACGCGAGTAGCCCCAGCCTTTCGTGGCGAATGGGTCGAAGGACGGGCTCTTTTACATGCGTGTTCAATCGCTGGTCGTACTGCTATGCAAGCCGAATTCAAGCCGTGTAGGCTTGTCAGCGCTGCCTGTTCCAAGGTTTATTCGTTGACTTCTACATACTGCTGTAGAACAACGTGGTGAAGCAAGTTGGCCTCTTTAGGTCGTTTCCTTGGAACCTTCCCTTGTGTATAACGCAGCGCTTACACAAGTTGGCACGCGAAACAGGCAGCAGCATCCACACGTGCTCTTGCTCTCTGCATTCTTCGTGCAACTATTCTGTCACCATCACCGTTGTCGCGTGGCCAAGGCACAGACAGGGGGCAATCACCGTGCTCGTATCCATTTGAGGTGGCATCCTACTGCTGCAGACGAAAAGGCTGGCTTCCATCTCCAATGCATCAAATTGTGTGTGTGTGGAACACACGCCCTGCAGTACATCGAAATAGCACCGTTGCCGCTGCTGCGCCCGTGTGTACCTTTTTGCTTTGCACGATCGGCGAAGACCTTGGGGACCGTTCTGATCGTCGGCTCGACCATCGGGGTGTCGGCGATCCCATTTTTGTCGTTGGGGCCACAGCAGCAGGTAGGTGGGACAGAAAGCGAGCCGAGAGAAAGCGAGCCCGGTCTTTTACTTGAAAAACATACATACTGGGGGGGATGAGACCCTTTTTGAAAGGTCACTTCCACAATACCAGGGTTGCACTCTTTTCCATCCTCGCCGTCAACGCTCAGCTGTCTTTGTTCCTGTCGTTCGCTCGACATGGTAGTGCTTTCTGTCGTATGTAGTCGGTGACCCCTGTCTTTTTCCGAGTTAGTCCACGCTTCTTGGTCGTGGTATTTTTTTTCAATTCATAGATTTTCCCTTAACTTGAGGAGAGCGTGAAAAGCGGCGCCGTGGTCGCGAAAATGGATCCTCTGTCTGCTACACATGAAGACCTCACAATTCCAGCAGGGAACTGCAGCACTTTTCTCACCCACGATTGAACGTGTGGGTGCATCCGTGAAGAAAAAAAAAACTTTTGGTGGGGCGGTGTAGCGAAGAACCTCTGAAGAACGGACATGACCGCTGCTTTTTAAGTAGTGGTTGACCGCATGATGAGCTGACAATTCTGATGCTGCGACAAGTAAGTTGTTTTGTTATGGATTTTTACAATGTACCGCACGACGTCTAGACACGAACAGCTGTGTCTTGGTGACGTACATATCGTGAGAGACTGCTACAAACGTTTAAGGTTAAGTGCACGTTTATCACTGGCCAGGACTATGTTAACGTGGTTGGTCTGATCTATGGCTGGGGCTCTGCACTACACGACGCCATACGCAACGTCGGTCGTCTCACTAAACGCTTGGTGACATGAGAGAGTTGGTCCTGAAGAGAGGACACAGAGGTCCCCTTCCCGTCTGTAAGCGGATACAGTGTCGACGTCGGTACACGAACAGCTGATCTGCCGCGCCCCGACCTCCTGCTGCCGCTGCTGCTTGCCAAAGTCGAAAGGCCCTAAGACTGTCCGCGTTGTCGACGAAGACGGTAACACTTCCGAAAGAGGTGAGATAGGGTTGAGCTCCTGAGTCAGCAGTGCACTGAAACAAACGCCTCCGATAGAGTTACGAATTACCCCTTCCATAGGTACAGGGTACCCCTACCCCTACTCCTACTCCGATCCCAAACCCGGTGATGCTTTCCCTTTTTTGGCCGCGTGTCTTTGTCTCCCGTGTACTTAAGCGTCGCTACTACGGTGGTACAGAAGAGGAAAAGCGCCTCTGTGTCTCTTGTTTGAGTGCTCGCACGGTCCTCCTCAACCCCCCGCCCTAAAACCGCTGGCCTGCGCGCACGACTTGCCTTGATTGTGTGCGTTTTCACAAAGGGCCCAGTGGTCTGTCCTTCTTGCTTGAGCGTCTTGGTCGCCATACTCTACCGACCGTCCGTCTTTGTGGGTATACGTCAGACTTGCTGCTGCTCCATGCTTGCCAGTGATCGAATCCCTTGGAGCACAAAGCGATCCATCTGATTTTCAGTTGAAGCACCGACCGCGCTAACCGGCTGCATGTGTGTGTTTGCACGTGTAGGGATCCTGACGGCTATGACGCGGCCGGAGATCCAGAAGAAGCTTTCCCAGGTGAGGGAGGGGAGGGCTTGGAAAAGGAAACGAATTCATCAGTACCACTGGACAACCTGGAGTAAAAAAGAAAGCCGACAATCTTTTCTTGTTCTCGGGAAGATCGTTCGCGGAGGAACCCCCCCCCCCCTCCCCCCCCCTCTCGAAAGTCACCTTCGCTCTCAAGCAGTCCTGCTCTACTGCTGTGGTGCCTTGCGTGACGTTTCTGTGTGGGTTGCGGGGACCCTTTCGTTCGCCTTTGGCTTTTGACTCATGCTGCTGCTGTGGTGCGTGCGCGACCTCTGTCGGGCGCCTTGCGTGAAAAAAAGATCCCGGTCTTCTTCTTGAGGGACGAGAGCGGTGCCGTGCACGTGGAGAACGGCGAGGGTCTCTTCTTCATGTCCCCGGGAGACGCTAAGGAAAAGCTTCAAGACCTCAAGGGCGCGGAAGGGACGAAGGTGTGTTGTTGTTGTTAAAGGAAAGGAGCACGTATATAGGTGTCCTCGTCGTGGTGCTGCCGTCTCTCTCTCGCTCTCTCGTGCCTTGCATCCCCGTGTTCCAAGTGCTGTGTGCCGGCAATCCGTCTTGTTGTTTCTGCTGGGGCGTAAACGACAACAGGTAGCGGCCACGACGCTCGATGACATCTGGTACCCGCTCATCAAGAAGAAGGGGCTGAACAAGAAGCCGGTGGCCGCGGGGGCCTCTGGGCTTAGCGACCTCTCCTGCCGTTACAGGATCATCCCGCGAAGCAACCAGGTTGCCCAGGCGCTGGAGGTACGTTAGTACGGGACCAAACCCTCGAGCGTGTGGTGTTTAGTGCACATGGCTAAGAATGTCCACGATGTAATGTATCTGCGGGAAGAAATTGGGGTGTTCTGCGGGAGGACGTCGCCAACAAGGAACCGGACGCGTCCCTGACTGCTACGATATGCATGGGCATGGCTTTGCTGTGATCTCCGAATAACAATGCGTGAAAGACGGTCGTGAGTCGTCGTGACCAGAGTCGGAGATACCGGGAGTCTATCCGCTCTTCTGTCCGCCCATCATTGCCAGTCACGTTCTCCTTCCTCACGAACGAACCAAAAATCTCAAAGCAGGTAAGTGCGTCAACCCGCACCCACCCGCGTGTGTAGTGTACCACCGGATCATTCCACACACTCGTCTCATCATGCGTGCACATGTAAATATATATATATATATATATGTTACCCCGCAGAAGTAGAAAACCTTGCCTGTTATAGCTTCGGAGCAAGCCGTGTTTCATATCTCCGTCTTATATGCACGGCGCCCGATGTTCCCCACATTTTTCATGTTTCCGCGCCTCATGTCCCACTTTTCATGTTTTCGAGCCCCGTGTCCCGCTTTTCATCTTCCCGCATTGGACCCCGCTGCGATTTTTTTTGTTCTTTCTCGCTGGTGTCGCGTCGTTGTTACAGACTCAAAACGCTGGAATGCCCCCACTTTTCTCATGTCTTGGCGTTGGATCCGGCTCTCACTCTTTCAATGTTTTTTTTTTGTGTTCTCGTTGGTGTCGCGCCGTCGTTTGCAGACTCAGGGCTGGAACGCCGTGGCGGATGCGGGCGGCGTGCCGGTGTGGGCGGCGGAGACCCTCGCCTTCAGGGGGGCGGGGAACAAGATGAAGGTGACCGGCGCACGTTGTTTCCGGCTGACTGATTTGCCTACCGTAGGTAACGGAAGATATCATACCCCCCGGTCCGGCTTCCAAAGCTCGATTCCTCCTCGCGGCAGAAAGAGGAGAGAGGAGGCGGTGCGACAAAACGGCGGGGTTGGAGACAGGTCGCTGAGAGCTATATACCCTTCTTGTCATTGGTGCATCCTCTTCTTCTTCGTCGTTTTGAGTCATCGAGCTTTGACGATCGGCCCACGGGGTGCGGTGTCTTGCGTCACCCACGGCAGTGTACTAAGTGGCAGCAAAGCTAAGGAGTTGGCCGTTGCGTGTTGGAACACATGCGCGTCCCGCTCGCGGGGGCTCTTTGCTGCTGCATGCGCTGGTGTTCGGATCGGAGAGGCCGGGGTGCGTCTCCCAAGATGTCCGTAGCGCACAGTCACGGACAGGCTACCAATTGGAGATGTGAAGAATATCACAGCAGTCGAAGGGATGTGTTGGAAGTCTTTAACAGCACGGAATAAGGTGTCTCGGTGGGTGCCCTGGCGTATTAACTTGAACTAATCATTCTCGTGAAATGCTGGGTGCCCTGGAGTGAGATCAATTCAAAGGTGAAGTTTGCAGGCGTGATGACGTTTCGGGGATGTCGGCAATCTCACGTCTCCCGCAGCCGTGTCGGGCTCCAGGGGCTGCACAGCAGTGTGGCGGAATATTTTCTCAGGAGGGCTTTACCTTGTATCGGGAATCGAAGCGCATGCGTGGAGGGGCGTCAGTTTGTCTTCATCGCAGCATTTGGAGTTACTTCAGGGTTTGGGGTCACGGCATGGAATTTCCGGAGGGCATTTCTAGCGTTAACCAGGCGTAGTCACACTCCCAGATGTTGATTCCGGTGTCCCGTTAAGTTTGGTGGTGTCAGGCTTGCAGCCATTCGGCTCCGAAGCTATCTACGCTTTTTCATGACCGAAGTACAACACGACATTGCCCTAGTTTTATGAAGATGAATCTCGACAAGTTTTTGCCGTGCACGGCGCGGGCGTATTTTTTTTTTTTGTGCGTGCCCGTCCGCAGCTGCCCCTGTTCACCAACGTGGACGACCTCATGACCAGCTGGGACAGGTTGGAGACAGAGGGGGGGTCCGAAGCCAAGTCCCCGACGATTCAAGTGAGGCAGCGATGTGACCGCATGCATGTCGTATGGTAGTCGGGGCTGCAAGCGTGAGTCGTAAGCGTTGCTGAGCCCGTCTGCGAAAGGGTCCTTTGAAGAGTTGTTGTTGAGGCTCTAGCGTCGTTATGGGCGACCGTTCGAGTCTAGATCTTCCCCCAGTTTCAGCTGTGTGCCGTGACGTTTTGCCGCTTAGAGGTATTATAGTCCCTTCCGGCTGTATTTCGTGAGGTGTGTATAGATTTGATCCCGCTTTACGTGGACCTTGCGGTCGAAATCCCGTTGTACTCTTTGTTCGCGTTCAATTCCTCGCTTTTGAGCCCCGTAATCGTGGGCGAACTCCCGCTCTTAAACGTCTGTGTTTGTGGACCACACCAGGCTTGCTTGATCAAGGTTGGCTGTTGGTGCGGACAACCTGTTTCTCGCCGATCGCAAGACGTGACGGAAATTCTTGCCGTTCGTTCTCTTCGAGATTTTGTGTCTAACGGTCATAATGTGTTCAACGGTCACGGTGTTTCTCCCGGTGTTACCAAAGGTGTCATCCATCGGAGCTATCATCGACATGATGCAGCGTGGTGGGGGAGACCAGAGGTATGCATTCATGCATCATGCCGCTTCATGCCGGAAAACTCACAAACTCGCCGATGTTCTTTTATGCTCCATGAAGGGTCGGAAGTGCTAGGCTACTGTAGCCGTAATTTTCGCGTGTGTTGGAAATGCTGCCGTTGCTGCTGCTGTCGTTGCTACTGCTGCTGCAGCTGAAGCGTTCAGGGCATTTGTTACGATGTCTTTTGTTAGGCTTTTTTCAGGCTGTCTTTTTTCAAAAAAATGACAACTAGCCAAATAGCCCCGTGTTATAGGCTGTCAAATAAGGTTCGTTGTCATATTTTAGCAAGGCAAGACGTTGTAACACCGAGCTATTTGGCCAGTTGTCATTTTTGAAAAAATGACAGCCTAAAAAAAGCCTAAAAGACGACATCGTAACAAAAAAAACTCAGACTTGTTTTTTTTTTTCCGACGAGTTTGTGCACCAAAACGTTCGCACAGACTTGTTTGGTGTCGGAAAGGAGGAGTCGGTCTCTCTGTCTCCGTCTGTTCGTGTGTTTGTCTTGTCTGCCTGTCTGTCTGTCTGTCTGTCTGTCGGTCGGTCTGTCGGTCTGTCTCTCCTATGTCTTGGTCGCCGAAGTTCCCACCACAACCCCTCTCTCCTCTCCCCATTGTGTGCGTGCGTTGCCTCCCCGTGTCCCGCGCCTGCCCTTGCAACACGCGCGAGCAGAAATCTGGAGTTCTTCGCTGACATGGACGCGATTGAGCAGGCGGAAAAGCTCTTGTAGGAAAAAAATGCAGACATGTATTGTACTGTTTACAGTACTTGAGGAGGGAATGAAGTCTTCTTTTCGAGCGAAGCCAAAGGGGGCCTGCCTGCCTGCCTGCCTGCCTGCCTGCCTGCCTGCCTGCCTGCCTGCCTGCCTGCCTGCCGTAACCTCAAGCCACCCTGTCTGTGCGTAGAATCACACAAGGCCCGACCGAAGCAGCCAGGCTGCAGTGACAACGTAAAAAATGGCCTAAAAAAGTGCGACGTTCAACGCTAATCCAGGCGTGTCCTTTGGGTTTGATGTTATTTATTTTAGTAGTCAGGTTTAGTCTAGGGATTTTTTTTTTTTTTTTCTGCCGCCGACAGGTTATCGTTTGGCGATCTACAGATAGTTGTCGGTCCAAACAACGGAGATAAGCGGATGGATTGTTGATCGATTGTTTTCGCCAGGGTGACCATCTGCTGTTGCGTCTAGTAGAGACAGACGTCGTGAACAAACAGCAATCAAGCAGCAGCTCGACCAATGTTTTGGCGGTGCCCTCTTGTACATCTGTTTCGACGAAGACCGTGGGGCGTATGAGCATGGCGCCAAGGTTTCGCCATTCACCCCTTCAAGGAACGACCAGTCAGTACAGAAGGAATGGGCTTGACTCGGGGTGGACATGAAAAGATGCGTTAGAAACGAGAATTGCCCGCCACCACGAGATTTGCCAGACAAATACCTTTTGGTTAGGAGATGGGTGTTTGTAGTCTGCCTCATGTGCGTTCTTCTTTAAGTCGTCCGCGTCCGACACCTTTGATACCACACGACCCGAAAGAGTTTCAGCTACCATCGACGCGAGCACTACCCCTGTGGTACACGAGCGATGTTGGAAAAGTTGCGGACGACACTTTGTGTGCCGTTGTGCTTCGTGCTCTAGGAGGTCAGCTCTGAAACCAGCTCTTTCTCGACACCGAAACCACACGAGCATGCCGCTGTTGTATGCGCATACATACGTTGGGACAAGTCTCACTGATTTTCTGTAACAAAGCAGCGCATGGTCGCCCGTGGGCTTCCTGGTAGTTAAAATCGAACGCCATTCAACATCACATTACTTCGGCGTTCACGCAGGTCTCCTGATGATGTCGAGTTTGTGTGACGTTGATCATTAGTCAACGATCACTATACCGACAGGGTTATCACCCGGGGGATGGACATGCACCACTCCCGTGTGAACTTGATGAATCAGTTTGTGTCAATACGGGATGTATGTATCCGTTCTCTCTTGGACTCGCTCATCTCGCCGTTCGATTTTTTCTTCGCGGCAGACAGAAAGGCAACACACGTGCTAAACGCGTGTCATTAGGTCAATAGGTTTACTACCAAGATGATCTCATTGCACCCTTCCTGCCCTTCGGGGTGGTGCATCCCGCCGAGAAGAGAACGAGGAAGGCATACCTGAATCGCCCGTTCCCAGGTTTAACTTGTGAGCATGCTGTGGGCATACTGTGATGTCATTGACACATCGCAACCCTGCCAAACAGCGTCGACCGGCATGTGCCTTAAACAGCAAGACCTATTCTACGCAGCTGCAAAGCAAACGAGAATAAAGCGCCAACACTTTTCCCACGCGTTTTGCTTGGTGCTCACGCTTGTGTGCGCTTGGGGAAAAAATGATACTTCTAGTAAAAAACAAAATAAAACGCGTCTGTCTCCTCGGTTCATCAAAATCTCTACAACACCCGATTGAGAACAAAAACGTATACGCTTCCCCACACTATCGTGGGTGCTCGCGCTTGTGTGCGCTTAAAACAGAAATGACAAAAAAGTAGAAGATGAATGCACTTGACAAAACCAAAATGCCAAAATGACAGGAAAAATCGCCTACTCCCCGGTTCGTCAAATCTGTGTGACGCCCGAACGAGGTCTACGGTACATGCTTATGCTTGAACATCCAAATCAAGGCAAGCCGGCACCGCAACAACTGCGTACGACACGTGATCGCCGTGACCCAGGCACAGGCAACGAGGGCACACATTCACCAAAACAAATACGTTGATCGCGGACCAAGACGATCTCGCGTAGTCCCGATCGAGGTGGAGAGTTCTACAGACCTCATGCAAGCAACGCTTACCAACGTATACCAGGCGGTCTACATATCGTTCGCCGTGATGTGAATCACGCCTTCGAATACTCCGGGACAATACCTAGGGGACGCGCATGCTCAATATACAGGGGACAGAACCTTGGCGAACCAAATAAGATTATTTATCAAGCTACAGAGGACAACCAAAGCACGCTTGCTGAAACAAGTCGGTTGTTCGACAAGGAGTGTCAAGATAGAAAGCATCAAAACAAAACACGCGAAACACGGAAGCGCACCAACTGCCGGATCACGCGGGCTACACAACAGCAAGCAAGACAAAACACCGACAACTTCATTATTTCTCCCTTATCGCCAACAACAACTACTGAACCCAGCTAGCAAAACTACCCTAAAACTGCCCCAACTCGGTCATCACGCCTCCTCGCGAGGGGTACACAACAGCATGCAGCCAAGCCTTACGACAACCCACACCGACGACCTCGCCGAGAAATACTCAGCAACGGAAAACAATCCCGACTCGATATCGCCCGCCTCCTTTAAGGATGTCTGTCGTTCATTTGTTTTAGCGCTTGATGGCCATAAGGTTGCGGAACAACGAGCGCACCGCCGGCGTGAGCTTGGTTTTGTTGTACAGGTCGCCGGCCTGGCGGATGGACTCTGCTCTGGTGGGGTAAGGGTGGATCACGCCCGCCAAGCTGCCGAGGCCCACCTTCGACTGCATCGCTACGGACACCTCGCTGACGGAAGGGGGTTAGAGACACGGCCGTCCATGACATATGCAGAGGGAAAGAGCGTTGTTGCACGTCAGCTTTCTTCTTCATGAAAAAACTGGTTCTGGGTGAGATCATGACAAGTATTTGTGGCCACCCGTGTCTGACTGTTCGTGGCGAGACTCCCTGCTGCGAACCAACGACTGCTGTGCAACGAGCGATCGCAACATGCTGACAAGTGTTGACTTGACGCGTCAAGGTGCATAAGCCGCTTGCCGGCCAAACGGTGCCTGTTTTCGTTGGCGCGGTTTCCCCGAACATGCGCACGCCTCCCTTGTTCTAATCCTTTGTGTAATCATAATCTTTAGACGAGATATCGTCCGCTTGTCACATGCACATGTACCCGCGGAGTGTTGATCGGTTAGTTCCCTCCTCCAAAATCCACGTAACAAAAACATCCATAACTTTGCAGGCAGCAGGTGGTAACTTTGGCTCTCTCTTTATTATCCGACCCCGCATTCGCTTATTCTTGAGATACGCGTTAATATGCTCGCGATTTTCCTGTTTTACAACAATTATGCGCCCGTGGAAGACGGATATATATCTCGAGCTGCATTCTCAGCAAGCAATCCTTCTGAGGAACAACAATAATGACGTCGACATCGTAAAAAAACGCACCTGATCATGTCACCGGCACCGGCCCCGACGATGGTAGCCCCGATGATGCGGTCGGTGCCACGCCTGACGTGGATCTTCACGAAACCTTCCGTCTCGCCCTCCAGGATAGCGCGGTCGTTGTCGTCGAACTGGGTAAAAAAAAAGAATAAAAAAAAAGAATAAAAAAAGAATTAAAAAAAACGTCCGTTACACTACACAGGTTGAGGCAGCGTTGGCGTCGAATTGGACAAGAAAAAAAAAAAAGTCCGTTAGACGGCACAGGTTGAGGCAGCGATGGCGTCGTACATGGTCAATAGCAAGTCACGAACGTCCGAAAGTCAACAGGCTGAGGAAGCGTTGGCATCGTGTTCGGTCAACTGCAGGTGTCACGATCACTCCCCATCCCCCCCTCTTGGTAAAAAGCCGCCAGCATTGCCATGTCTATGAAAACTCTGCCGACACCACCACTCACGGCGACGGTGGCTGCGGGCACACAGCGACAGTCACCGAAGAACTGATTTGCGCCGTATGCACCTAACAGCCAGCAAAGACAAGCACTTACAGCGCCTGGAGAAACCCGCTTCGTGCATGCACTCGGCCCTTGGCGTGTTGTACGCCTAAATAACCAGCAAAGGCTAAAAGAGATCGAACACTCAAGAAAAAATGGGTTTGGCTCACCTGCTTCGTGTACGTGTCGTAGGCGATTTTCTGCGCCTCCATGTCGCGGGGGTACAGCCCAACGTGGGCCACCTCTGGCTCGGTAAAGGTGGCCCATGGGATCAAGAGGTCGCTGAACTTCGCCTTGCCTGCGGTAGAGTTGAATTGAAGCCAGGCCAGGGGCGCCGGGGAGCGCGAGGGCGGGCGGGGAAGGTGACGATACTACAGCAGTAGATCGCGTTCTGCAACATGCTTGTAATCCACAACAACTTTTTCGTGGGTTGTACTGTAGAAGCCGGAATATCCATTAGATTAGACTAGTTAGCGTTGACTCAGCGTTGACTAGTTCAATGAATTTACTACCGTTTGACACAAGATAACACACACCCTTGACCAATTTTCAAAGCTCGACTACTCAACTGCAGGAACAGTCACAGCGCCGAGAACGGCGGCGTTGAAACCGTCTCGTCGAGGGCTTTTCGAAAATGTATCGTTTTGTTTATGCACCCTCTTCGTCGTGGAGTAATCGAGCTTTGAAAATCGGTCCAGGGGGTGTGTTATCTTGTGTCATACTGTAGTCTAATGGTTTGGTATCGGCTTCGATAGGGTGTAGTAATACCAAGCATACTGCTGTATTGTACTGAAGAAACCAGTGCACGAGCGTTGTATGAGCGCTTACTGGATATTTTGAATCTTCGTTGGATATGGATATTTGGAGAGGTCGTTGAGGGGTATTGAAGCAGCTTGAAGGAGCATCAAAATCCCAGCCCCGCTCCCTCACTCTCCGAGGGGGCGCTGAGCGGACCTGGTCTAAGAATGCTGTAAGAGGTCGAACAACAACTGTGACTACCCGAAGCCAGGAGTAACGGACTTACTCCCTTCCCTTTTTATTTCTCTGGTCCTCCATAACAGTATCCATCCACATCGCGTAAGATGCGTTCTCGATTGTCCTTGCATTCAACACTTACCGAAGAAGAGCGCGTTCCTGATGACGATCCTTGCCATGAAGTCCGCGGCGTGAGTGAACTGGAACTTCGTGCAGCAGTCCCCGACAGCGTAGATAGACTGACGAGGGTTCCATCGGCATCAAATAGTAGTCACGGAGAGAGAGAAAGACAAAATAAGAGAACGAGAGCGACAGATAGATAGATAGATAGAGAGAGAGAGGGAGAGAGAGAGAGCGACGGAGGGAGAGAGAGAGAACGACAGAGTGAGAGAGAGAGTGAGAGAGAGTGAGAGAAAGTCACACAAGAGGGAGGAAGCATGGACATAGCAGATCGTAGTTTTGCGGCAAGGTTAGATGATCGGGTCGCCTGCGTGCAGGTCCGGGAGCGGGTCCGTTGAGCTCTCGTTTTGCTCCGGTAGGATCCCTGAACCCGATCCACAAGGCCTTGATTTTCCCAAAACGACTCTCATGCTACAGCAGCCAACACCCGAGAGCAGCCAGCCTCACAGCAGCATGCACGTCTGCAATCATGGAGTAGAAAAGGAACGAGAACAACATCCACTACAACAACGTCGAGACGAGGACAACCAGAGAGAGCGGCACCCGCCACAGACACATGACGCCCTGCACCCTAACCCTAACCCTAGCCCTAGCCCTAACCCCGACTGGTACCTTGTTAGTGGTCTGCAGCTGGTCGTTGACCTTAACGCCGTCCTTGGGGTTGATCTCCACCCCCGCCTTCTCCAGGCCCACGTTGCCCACGTTGGGCTTCCGCCCGGTGGCCACCAGGAGGGCTTCGCACTCGAACACCTGAGTCATCGAGCACGCACGGATGTGTGTACCATAGGACGAACGGCAACAACGGCAACGGGCCGGGAGAGAGAGGGAGAGTTTACCAGGACTTCGCACTAGAACAACACGACGATCGACCATGCGAGAATGCATACCATACCATGGGACCAACGACAACAACGACCTCGTGAGGGAGAGACTTGATTTTCTTAGTCAGACCAGACGGCATAAGTCGCGCATGCAAAGCCGACGACGACGGGCAGGAGGAGGAGCAGTTTCCGACTAAAGTTTCTTGGAGTAGTTGACCAGAAGCGTGGTGCCCGAGTAGACCACGGTTCGTTGCCGTCGGTATAAAGTCGCGACCCGAGTGAAAACAGTGGTATGGACCACCGCCGTACGACGATCAACAGCGAGCGGTGCCGGGGCCGCGCGAAGCCAGTCGGTCGGTCACAACACGCGACCAACAAGATGCAGCAGTATAGTCAGCGCAAAAAAACACAACACGACAACCGGCACGAAATGCCAGAAGATTTCGTGTCGCACCAAATGGAGCCAACAGCAGTTACAACCCACTCGACTGCGGTGTTGTCTCGAATGGGTCTTTTGAGATTGGTCTGACCTGCTCCTGGTCGTCCTGTTCTACCAAGATCCTTACCGATCTTCTCCTGGCCGTCCTGTTCTAAATACGAAGATCTTTACTGACCTTCTCCTGGCCGTCCTGCTCTACGAAGATCTTGACGAGGGGGAAGTCTCCCTCCTCCTTGGGACTCTCGTGCTCCACGCGGAGGAACTTGAGGTGGAACTGGAGATTCAGGCCGTCCTTGAGGAGGGACTCTAGAACGATCGCCCTGGCGTCGTCATCCTCCTGCGTGAATTCTCAAATGATTCACGAAACAGACGCAGGAGAGAACAGAGCATGGTGGGTGAGGATAAGGAACGTTCAGAGACCAAGTTGGGTGGGGACACGGCAACAACAGAGTGGCACGAAATAACGAAAAGGACGGTATCGATACCAGTAAGACGATGGTTCTGCTGTGGTTACAGTTCTGGATGGTAACGAACGCCGAGATACACGCCTTCGTCGCCGGTACTAAAAAAAAAACAAAAGCAAGCGAGGTATGCAATAAAATAAAAACTCTTGACATGTCGATGGCGACTGCAATACCTCGAGAAGAAAGTCAGAAAAAAAAAAAGCTAGACACCGAAGGAGGGATACACACCACCCGCAGAGATATGTGCAACCGACCGTCTTCACTGTGGGAATATATATGTGTTTGTTTTTCGCCCCCCGTCTTGCTGCACTCCCTGGGGTGTGGTGCAGGGCGGGGGATGCCTGGTCGGCGGGAACCCGGCACGGAACCCTCCGGCGTTGTAGGCGGGTGTGGGAAGCGTTCCCCGTTCTCCTTTTATTTTATTTTGATCGGTCTCCTCGACGCTCTTTCTCGTTTGGTGCGGTAGCTGGTCTTTCTTTCCATCATTTTGTTTCTCTTCCGAGTGGTTTTTGTACCCTATTTTTTTCTGTTTCTTCGTGGGGTCGTGTATGCCGGGTTTTGAGACCACGGGCTCCCAATCTTTTTTTTTTTAGAGCTAATGTGAGAAACAACAACAACAACAACAACAACAACTGTCCCAGCGCGTCCTGGAAAGGGCCGAGGCGGGCCGGTCTCGGCTCCGCGCACGATCGTGGTACGAAGGATAAAACCACCTGGGTCTAAGCGGCGTAGAGAGCACTTTGTCCTGCCATCACGTCGAGCAGAAACACGTCTCCGACATTTTTCGGCCGACATTGCCAACGCCAAAGCTTGGGGGTGGGGACACACACCACCAAAACCGTCTCGCCTACAACAGTCACGCACCTTGGGCATGATAGCTCCGGAGCGGATGAGCACGGTGACCTCCGACCCGAAGCGCTGCATCGCCTGGGCCAGCTCGAGACCGATAGGGCCTCCTCCGATCACCACCTGTGGTCAAGCACATCCATCGCCGTACATGTATGGGGTACGCTGTCAAGAATTAGCTCCGTGGTGGCGGTCGGCGTCAGTCAGTCAGTCAGTCACATACAAAAAAACATGCAACTAATACAACGGAAAACACAAGTGTCCGCATCCGACAAGCCTTCATAGCCAACAAGCGCTTAACACGACGAACGCGGAAACCGAGAAGCGGCCGCACACAACTAGGAGGCAACAAAAGCCTACCATGTCGTACCCTTTAGCTTCCGAGAAGCATAGACACGTAACACAAAAACAATCTCAGCGAGAGTGCGGAGAGAGCAAAACCGTCGACACCAGTTCCATATCCACGCGAATATTTTCGACGTTGTCCTTACGGGAAATTTACGTACGAAGGAAAATTATCAACACCACACACGACTGCTGGACCAAAAAAAAGATATATACGTTGATATTTTGTCCTCGAGCGCGGGACGGACCTCTTGTAACCACGTAGCGAGCAAACAAAGGCGAGCAGGGGGGACCGGTAGACTCACCAGCCTTCTGGGTAGGGCGGTGAGGTTGAAGACAGAGGCGTTGGTGAGGTAGGGGGCTTCCTTGAGACCCGGGATAGGCGGCAGCGCGGCCGACCCTCCAGTGGCGACGACGGCGGACTTGAACTTGAGGGTCTTGCCGTTCACCTGGAAGCACGAGGAGAAGAACGGCACAACAAACAAGAAAAAGATGAAGGAGGGAGGAAAGAGGGAAACAGCAGTGAGTATTGTAGTCAGAGGGAGGAGGTTGCACAAAAAAAGCTCAGCAAACCCGATTTTAGAATATCTACCAGTGTGAAGACAACAACCATGTGGGAATACCCATAATCCCGGTATCATAAAATACTGAGTGTCCATCGCCCAAAGCGACGCGGGGCGGGGGGTTCTCTGCGGTGTCGAGCAAGAAGCATCTTGGTGCCACCGCGTCGTCTCGAGTCGTCTCACAGGGGGAGAAGAGTCGCGTTGGACGTCGCAAAACAAAATAAAAAAAGAAGAGATAGTACAGCGAGGGTTGGGTGTCCCGGCACGCGCTTGCGTGCTGAATGCTTACCTCTCGAGGAGAGGGTTTGGTTCGTCGGGTGAACAAAAAACGCTTCATGTACAGGGTTGTTGCCGTGTGTGACCGTGTTTTTGTTCGCCTCGTGCCACCATCGTCGACGACTACTACTTGCAACACACAGACATCCGCTCTCTCACCGCCCATCACGTCGTAATCGTACACAGTACGACATACGAGTGATCCTTCCCTCCGGAGTCATGAACGGGTGAGACGCAACATGCAAAAAAAAAAAAAAAACAGTAAGGAGCACGACCAACTCACAGCTGACTGCGGTGTCGTTGAGCCGTCCCAAGCTCAACAGCTGACATGTTGTCCGCTCAAAGAGCCCGGCAAACCTCACACGAACCAACAAAGAAAAAATTACAATTCTGTACACAGGCTTTCGTTAACCCCCATGAACCAAACCAAAAAGAACGGCTTGCAAATCTGTAATACAGACTTTCGAGTTGTATGCATACTGTACTCCATACACACGCACACACACACCTGTACGGTGTTGGGTGAGGAGAACTCTCCGTGGCCGATGTAGACGTCGATGCCCAGGCTCGTGAAGCGCTTGGCGCTGTCGTGATGAGAGATGCCCGCCCTCAGCTTGCGAAGGCGCTCCATGACCTTGCCGAAGTTCACCGTGACGGCTCCTTCCACCTCCACACTCCAAGTCGGCAAAAACACGAAAACAAACGGTAACTGGTCAATCGGACAATCGGCGTTGACATGATGCACAGGGGTGAGGGGCGGTGTGCCACCCACGGCACACGGAGCATTGCCTTCCGTCTCACGTATCCAAGAAAAGGCGTCGGTACAGATAAAAACGGCGTACACGGAGGCGCAGGCAGGCTCGAGACCTTGGCCAAAGTACATACAATAGAAGACGACGACAACACACAGCTATGATAGCTAATGGCGAGAACGTTCGCCGGAAGCCCCGAAAGCGCTTCCTGTGGCACCCGAAAACAGAAGGAAAGTACTATCTATGTGGTATTCAAGACTTCATCTATGTGGCATGCAAGACATAATCACGCCCCAGAGCACTATCTATGTGGCACGTAGGGCGTAATCGAGACCCCTGTCTCACCCGTAAGCCTCGGGGTTCTTGACGGTGTTGGCGATTCTAGCCGCGGAGATGAGGGCCTTGGACGGGACGCAGCCAACGTTAAGGCAGTCGCCGCCCATGAGATGGTTCTCGATCAGAGCCACCTGGAACAGGAAGCACCAGGGGGACGTGCGTGTGTGTGTGTGTGTGTGTGTGTAAACATACAACGCATAACGTGCACGACAAAAAAGGTAATGACGAGATGTAGAGAATGGGACAGGATTGAGGCCCAAAACGACGGGCGTAATTCACGTCTTATAGTACGCGAGGGTAGTAGGGGAAGAGAACAAAAAACGCGATGGCGCCACGGCGAAGGGAAAGGGCTATGCAATAGCAAGAAAATCTCTCGCGCGTCAATTCCGCGCGTGCGTCCGCGTGACAAAAAGAAAAAGAAAACTCAAGTCACAGGGATTCGGGGCTGTCCCTGCCGCAAACCGTTCGCAGTGATGCTGCCCCCCCCCGTGCTGCGCAACAGGATTCGTACACAAGAGCAATCCGCAAAACACAGGATTTCAAGGCCGGTTGCCGTGATCTTGCCCTCTCTTGCCTTCGCGTACACGCCCGCCGATCCTGCGGCAGAGACAAGGCCGCCGGTTCCGGCGCCGATAACCACCAGGTTGTACGTCTTTTCGTGCGAATAAAGACGACAAAAGAAAAAAAACACGCGAAGTTTTCGGGGCCCATGTTAGGAGTCGTAAATATGTCCCAAGTCAGGAGTTGTTAATATGCTCCACGTTAGGAGTTGTAAAGATGTGCACGAAATGGCATGGCGAGGGAGGCGGGAAACTACTCGGCCCGTACAGCGGAAAAGTGCGAGAGTCTCAATGGACGCAGTGAGGTCGGGAAGCAAAAGGGGGAACTCGAAAAGAAATAAAGAAGCACGACAATCACGTAACGACATCATCCTCACCACACCCCACCGCTCTTCGCTGTGATCAGCACAGGAGCCTTGACAAAAAAACACCTGGCTGAGAGAAACAACCAAAGTACTGCCATAACCCCGTGTTACCGTTTCATGATAGCGCATTTCTCCACAACTAGGAGGTTGCGAACACCAACCGATACTACCTCTCAGGAAAGCCCTCGGCGAGGTGTTTCCAAAACTACCCTCTTCGGCAGCGGTACAATACCCCCCCCTGTCTCTGGAAGTGAAAGCACCAGAAAATAAATTAAGTCATACGCAGCTGCCATCCGTATGAAAGGAAGTGAGCACAAGATGCCGAACACCCTTAGCAGGATGCAGCGCACCCTTCATGCGACCGACTCGCCGAATATCTCACGGCGCTTCGCGCTTGGTGATGTAAGAGCCTGGTCCGTTGAGAACCCGGCGTGCTGTGCTCCGTCCCGGCTTTGTAGGGATGCGAGGTCAATGGTCTAACGACTACGGCATGCACGACCATGAGTACACCCCCCCCTGGTTGTGGAAATACGCAACAAAAAAACGCTAACACGGGGGTGCCATCTCTCCGACTCTTACGGCACCACAATACAACCCCCACAACAACAACATCTTCACGGCACCCCCACCGTCCTTCGCTGTGTTAAGGAAAGAGCCTTGCAAACAAACACCTGGCCGAGAGTGGCCGAAACACAAAAAAACAGTCATGTATCATACAACAACTACGCACCCCGTCCGGCTCCGCGTCGACCCAGTTCGCCGGGTGCACGTTGTCCAGAAGCTCCGTGTTGTACTGGTCGATGGGGGATACCCCGATCTCCACGAGAGTGTTGATCATGTCGGCATCGCGCGACACGACGGCCTCGAGGTCGGCTTGCCTCGACTCCTCCCCGGAGGTGGTGGGGAAGAGGCGAGACGCCAGGGCAGTCCAGGAATCCTGCAACAGCAACAACAACAACGATCAACAACAACCAACGTGTGCGAGCGACACAATGAACGTGCCGTACTTGCGCACGACAAGTACTTGAATAGCTTCCACGCAATGGCACAAGTTCTCCCGACGGTATGAGGCACGTGTGAGAAGGGCGAGGAAACCGGAAGGGTGGTGTCTTGAGGTCAGCAACAAATGTACAAGGGGCGTGTATCAGGCCCTCAGGCTCTACCAGGCGCAAGCTGTGGGCTGGATACTGGATTGGACGGCATACAACACGCAGGAATCCCCCGTGTCGCGCGCCAACACACTCTTTTGACAGGATCCAACTTTGCGCGAGAACAAGGGGATTGGAAACGACGTATACGTTGCACTGGAGCGCGAAAAGGACGCAGACACGACAGAGGTGCAACCACACAGGTTGTCGGCGAGGAGGAATAAGCGATGCCGCTCGGGAAAGCTCGTGACAAGCTGAAAACGTGCAGAAGAGACACGATCAGCTGCCAAGCGACGACCAGTTGAAGCTGCTGTCAAAATTTCAACACCGATCGGATCGCAAGCGCAAACATCTGGGCTGCCTTCTACCGCAGGTTGCACAAGTACATCACACCCCCTAAACCGGTTTTCAAAGCTTGATTGCTCCGCGACGACGAGGATGCCAAAATCAAACGGTACGTTTTCGAAAGCTCTCGGACGAGACGGTTCCAACGCCGCCATTTTCAGCACCGTCGGTGTTTGTGGTGCAGAGAAACCGGGCTTTGAAAATCGGTCCAGGGGGTGTGGTATCTTGTGCAACCTACGGTAATAGTAGAGCTGCTGCAAGCAGTGCCCACGCACCTTCTTTCCAGACTCGTCGGTTGCAACTCCGCCGACCTTGGCATCCTCGGTGAAGCGGTAAAACAGGCCGCTGTCTTGGAAGGGATGGTCTCTGGTGACGTGGTGGAAGTAGCCCAGGTCTGTATTTTTAGCATCGTCGAGGGAGGCGGGGGCGAGCGCTCGTCGTCATCATCATCGTTGAGAACGGCTGCATTCAGCTTCAAAGAAATACTTTTCTGAAGCAACGAGAACTCCCAAGGAAGGGACTGCTTCTGAAACAACGTTGCTGCTCTCCTTTGGCAACACCAGCACAGGAGGACCTGCCGGCGCACGCAACAGATCGATTGTCGCACAATATCCACGGGATAGCAGCGTGGTGGCAAGCGAGAACGCGCGGCACTACACGAATCACGCACCGACGACATACGGAGTCAGACTTTCGATCCGAAACAACTCGCTTTCAGGAACCAAAAGTAGCCAGCAAGGGGCTCCGTGGATTGTGCATGCCCACATCAAAACCACGGCACCTTACGCCTTACCCATGAGGAGGTTGCCTAACGCCACCGCCTCTTCGGTGGAAGAAACCCTGCTGCTCGTCTTGATGAGCCACTGGACGGCATCCTTGCCCACGAAGCACTGCTTGTACGTCTGCGGAGAGCACGGGCAAGTTGTACAGCAACGTTGTTGTTGTTGTTGTTGTTGTGTCGATGCGTCTGTTCTTCTCCTCCAGGACCAACTGCTGATACATCCTATACCAGAAAACGTTTTTGGCCTCCACCCTGCCAAAAATAACAAAGCAATCCCCCAGCGCTGATCCACCTATACGTGAAACATTGGGTCACACCGTTGCACTCACCCGCAGCCGATAGGTGCGGTCAGTGATCTGGAGTTCGGCGTGCATCTTGTCGCCGAGCTCCTGGAGAGAACACAATATGCGGGCGTGAAGCAGAGAGAGGAGGATAAGCACGACACGCGGAGGTGAAAAACCTAAAGACCCATTCTTTTACTCGTTGCGTATAGCGCGTTCACTAGCAAGGGTCGTGGGTGGGCTAAATATTGACCTGGTGGGGGACCGGCTAATTGCAGTTTGATCAGCGTGCAATGTCACATGTGCGACGAGATCGGAGAACCGGTGAATCCGCCGCAGCAGCCACGACTGGATGCTTAGACTACTCGCCTCAAGATTGATCGCCATTGCCATCGTTGCAGCTTTGACACATCCAAGAATAGCAATGGGCGGGTCGTAGAATATAAGTCGTACATGTAAGGGAAACCGAGGTCGAGGTGTTGGCCATATGGATGCTGTTTTTTTGCCGCATTTACTTGGCCGACAGAGACGGGGCCCACACTGCACGCAGTAGCATCGTCAAAGGGCGAGTCGGTCTCTCTTGTAGTCCAATCAAGAACCTCACTCTGCAACTGTTAGTAAAACTGAGGTATGAAGTATCATACACATATGACGGCGCCCATTGCGAGGACAACGACAGGTCGTTGCTGGGCGTCGGGTGGAACATGAAGCAATGTCCGCGAAGAAATGCGGGCGCGTGTGGATCCCACCTTTCGTAAAGGAACATAATTTTCGATCGGGTGAGCCAAGCGAATCACACACAGTCTACACCTCTGCGCGAAACATAGACAGGCACTGCTGGACCAAACACCCCACGACCAAGCTGGTTGCTTGGGAGTCTAGCAGAACGTATGATCCCAACGTACCATCGAGGTTGCAACAAGGAGCTTTGCACATGTCACCAGAGGAGCAAACTAAGAGGCACCTGCCGCAGCACAAAATGGTACAATGCATACCTTGATCTCGTCTTCGGTGATGTCTCCCCCGGGGAGCACCTCGGCCACCTTCGACATGTCCTCCATGCTTTATAACTTCGTCGGAACAGGAAGAGTCTTGCTGTTGTCGCT